GGAATAAATAGAAGATGTCCTAGAGTGTCCGCCATTGCCTCATGGTTTGTCTCAAGCTGTAGCTGCTGTTGGGAAAGCATCTGCAAAAGGGGCTGTTGTGGGTCACATGGAACACTAGGGACCTTAATGTGCTGGGGAGGAATCGCAGTCGCAGATGGCTTTGTGTGGCTGTCACAGAACATGTGGAAGAAGTCAACTCCCTGCCTGGCACTCCTGTTTTGTCACTGCTGCTGCTGTTGCTGCTTACCCATTGAGAGATATTGAGGTTATCCCCAGATCTCCTCCCACTGGCATCAAAGGGCCTTTATGTCAACAACTAATCCCTAAAGCAGTTTTATGACCTTTGTTGTTTACAAAGTCTGTATAGTTTTCAGGTAGAAATAAGATAGACTAATTACCAGTCATTAATATTAATGGTAATTGGTAATCATAAGTATGCCTGGCTTTATGACCCATTGCCAAATAAATCCTCTAAATCAGACGTTATTATTACAAATCATTTGATCCTGTATAACCAATACTGAACTCTGAACTTCATTAAAGTTAAACTGATGTAACCTACCCCTTATAGAATGCTTTGTTATCGTGGCAATGGGAGCCCTAATGACTTCATTTGTATTACCTTCCTTTAGCTGTTAATTACTTGGTCACTGGTGGGCAAGTGACTGTCCACCTAGCCACGCAGTCAGAGACTTTACCCAGTCCTGTTCAGGCTTCATTCACTTTTCCTCTTCCTCTAAGAAACATGTTTTCCTTGGGTGCTTAAAAGTTGCCATGCCTAATTGTGGAAGTAAGAGCTAGGCCGAGCCTTTTCTTCCCTTTTATCCAACACTGACCTGTTCATAAAATAAAACATAATAAAGCCTATATTTTTATAAATATATCTTACTTTACATTTAGGCATATACTTTGCTACGTGTTACAAACATGTCAATAAAGTGAATGCCTTTGAATGATGAAATTGTTTTCTAGGTAGTCAAAATTTGCACATGATTTGGTCAAAGAACTTATCATTAGCATCACTATGCACGCATGCATGAGTACATGCCTGCTGTGCTGGGCTTAAGGCTTTGTGCACTGGGGAGATGTTCTGACCCTGAGTCTCCCTCACGGCCCCTCTTTGTGCAGTTTGAGTTTCCTACCCTTTGTTTTGGTGAGATGCTGTTTTATTGTCTTTTGAACTTGAAACTGAAAAATTGAAAATGTGTAAACCTTGAACTGTTAAGTTTCTGGACTCTGTACAAGGACTTGAGAAGGAAGTAGATTATAAATAGAAACAGTGTGCCGGGCAGTGGTGGTACAGGCCTTTAATCCTAGCGCTCTTGTGGCATAGGCAGGTAGAGCTCTGTGAGTTCGAGGCCAGCCTGGCCTACAGAGGGAATGCCAGGATAGGCTCCAAAGCTACACAGAGAAACCCTGTCTGGAAAAACAAATAAACAAAATAACAACAAAAGAAGCAGTATGACTCTGAGGGCCCTTAGTGGATGACTTGCAGACCAAAGACCACCAAGGTTATGGAACTGTGGTTCTTTTAGTGATGAAAGAACAGGCCTCTGGCTGTAACAAAGAGAACCCCCACTCCACCCCCATGAGGTGAGTTAGCAGTTCTAATTTGAAAAGCAGCTGTAAAAGTGTTACCTTAATCACGATTAAATAAAGGTGGGTCTGGACCATTGTTCTGTGCTGAACTTTTCCTTGTCAGAGTAAAGAACACCCAGGCAAAGATGGAATTGAAAACCAAACCAGACCTTTTAGCAGTCCTCTTTCTGCAGTTGAAATTCCTATAGACATCTGTGCCATAATTGTCTTGAAAGAGCTAGACTGTAGAGACCCGGTAGAGAGGAGGGCTCTGAGTTAAAGTTTAAGTAATCAAGTACTAAGTCTTGTTTTTGTTTGTTTGTTTTGTTTTGAAACTGGGCTTCTTTGTATAGACCAGCCTTGAACTCAACCTGTCTGTGCTTCCCAGTGCTGGGATTAAAGACATCAAACACAGCAAATTTTTATATCTTTGATTAGAATGTAGCCAAAGAAAGAGGTACTTTTTTCCTAATCTAAATTAAAAGATGGAGCCATAGAGAAGGTACGAATGAATGGGACCTTGGGAAATGGGTATAACAGGACTAATTGTAGTTTGTAGGATCCTTTCTTTTGGAAATCCTTTTGAATGTCAAAGTAATTCTCCTTTGTGATATACTTAAAGATATTTTTAATTCAAATTCTTTGCATTTGTGGTCAGGAAGGAAGGAAGAGGGCAGGCAGACTGGCTAATTTTAAAAAAGATAACTAGCTCTGTGGGCTGCGATGGTGTGGGCGGCTCTTTGAAGGGATGTGTTGTTAGCTGCTTGTTTAATAATTTAGTATCAGAATAGAATTAGCCAGGTATGGTAGGTAGCCCATACCTGTAATCCCGATACTCCAGAGGCCAAGACAAGAGCAACAGAAGTTCAGTGCCAGCTTGGAGCTGCGCTGGGTGTAAATGACTTTGAACACAGTGAATTTGGGGCCATCTTGGGCTACATGAGACCTTGTCTTTGGGGAAAAAAAGGAGGAAAATACTTTTCCATGTCTCCAATTCAGTCACCAGAACTTATCATCTTTGTGCTGTTTCATTCTTAGTCTCTTTTCTGAAATATTTTAAAGTAATTTCTGGCATTTCCATCCTAGTTCCCTTGACACATGTGTCCAGGTACTGTAGATGTTTTCTTTTTGTCTCCCATCTGTGGCTCATGCTGGCCTGCAACTCTGTATACCCTACGCTGATCTGCTGCTAAGCGATTCTACTTCAGCCCCCGAGTGCTGGGGTTGCACATGTCAGGTCACCGCACTGGGCCATGAGGATGCTTTATTTAATATTTGTAATCACGTGGGTCTGTGTGTGACTATGTGCACATGAGTGCAATGCCCTAGGAAACCAGAGGCATCAGATCCCTTGAACTGGAGTTACAGGTAGTTGTGAGCCACCCCATGTGGGTGCTAGGAACTGAACACCAGTCCTCTGGAAGTGGTGTACACTTTTGACCGCTGAGCCATCTCTCCAGCCTATGTGAGTTTTTAAACATGGGCTACAAAACAAAAGGGTCTTAGACCTCACTTTGTTTAAGCCCCCCCCCCAATGACAGAGTCTCTATATAGCCCTAGTTGTCTTGGACCTCACAGAGATCCACCTGCCTCTGCCTCCTGAGTGCTGGGGTTAAAGGTGTGTGCCACTGTGCTCAGTGTAGACCTGGCTTTGAGAAATGTATGTCCCAGAAGGGAGATTAGATTCAGGGTGAATGTCGTGGTGCGATTTCTTTGTCACTACCAATTGCCCCACACACTGATGCTGGGTGAGCTTTTTAGCCCAACAGACCTTGCTGTCGATGGTTATAATCATAAAGGTAAGCCATCTTTATCAGTGTTTTATATAATATTTTCAATTTTTTCTAGTAGGAAAATGTCTTCCTTGTTGTGTTTTGGATTTCTTTAGTAATTGTAGATTTTTAATCATATGACCACTAGCTTTTCTCTTACCTCTCTTGTTTTTGAGACAGAGGCTTGTAGTGTCTTCATTCTTGGAGTACTACCTAGACTGGCCAGGGATGATCCTCCTGCCTTAGCTTCCTGAATACTTGGAGGTTGCCTCTTGCCAGTTCTTTTTCTTTTTAGATTTTATTTTCATTTTATGGGTATGGGTGTTTGGCCTGCATGTATGTCTGTGCAGTGCCTGTGGAGACCACAAGGGGGCATTGGATTCCCTTGGACTGGCGTTGCTGGAGTTAACCAGCTAATTCTTGGCCACCATGTGGATACTAGAATTCAAACCCAGGTCCTCTAGAAGAGCAGCCATTGCTCTTAACTGCTGAGCCATTTCTCTAGTCCCTCCTTCTCTTACATAATTATTTGGACCTATTTCTAACTTAATCTTTGTTTTGAGACAGGGTCTGTCTCTATACCCTTGGCTGGCTTTGAGCTGACTATATAGACCAGGCTGGCTTCAAACTCACCAAGATCTGCTGAGAGTAAAGGGATATGCTCCCATTTCAGACTTTACTTAACCTTTTAAAGACTTAAAAAATCAATTTGGACAAATCCTTTCAAAGCATAGGTATTTTTTACACACTGAATATTTTATCTATTTTGTGCTATTTCTTACCTTACTCATATCATCTTTTACATAATGGGAGACTAGACAGCCTCCCAGTCATCTTTCTGCATGTTAGTCTGACTCCGTATGGGGACGGTAAAGGGATCAGGATTTCTTTTTATAGTTCAGGACTGTGGGAGCTTGCTTACTCTTATTTGTTTTATGTCCACTTCCCAAACAAAGCTAACAAAGAAAACTAGGAAAGAATTCAGGCCTAGAGGAGTTTGGCTCATAGGTCCTGGTCAGAGGTAGTTAGTGTCACGGTTGAAGCTGCAGGCTGACTTAAGTGTTTGCCCCTTGTTTTACCACCAACTTTAAGTAACCTATTGGGTTTGTTTTATCTTTTTAAAGTGTATTTACTTCCTTATTTTTAACCGTGTGTGTGTGCATGCGTGTGTGTGCGCGTGTGTGTGTACATGCGCACACTGGTACCGATGGTGGCTAGAAGAGGATGTTGAATCTTCTGGATCCTGAGTTACAGGTGGTTCTGAGTTGCCCTATATGGGTGTTGGGTCCTCTGTAAGGTTGATAAATCAGTGAGGGCCCCCCTTTTTTTGAGACATGGTTTCTCTGTGTAGCTTTAGATCCTGTCCTGGAACTCAAACTCTATAGAGTAAGCAGGCCTTGAGCTCAGAGATCCGCCTGCCTCTGCCTCTTGGGTGCTAGAATTAAAGGTGTGCTCCACCACCACTGGCAAATCAATGACTCTTAATGCTCTCATCACACATTATGTGTCGTGTGTGGGGTTGCTGCCTATTAGAGTACTGTGCAACAAACATGGGGGCTTGCTCATTCTTACAAACTGCCTGAGAACCTGCTGCTGTTGGCCTTTTTAGAGTGAAAAATGATCTCATCTTGACCACTGTTTTGCCTACAGGAAGCCTGCAGATCTGCAGAACTTGGCTCCCGGGACCCACCCACCGTTTATAACCTTCAACAGCGAAGTCAAAACGGATGTAAATAAGATTGAGGAATTTCTTGAAGAAGTCTTGTGCCCCCCCAAGTGAGTATCAGAATGTGTGGACATAGCGCTGCCGCTTTGAATAAGGCTTTATTTTATTTGTCTCAGGACACTCTTTTCCTGATGGCCTTTAGATTCTCACAGCATTGAATTTGGGATAACCAGGACTGTCTTGTAAGATTCATGCATCATCAGTGTCAGATGGACTTTCTGTTTGGTCACACTAAGAAAGGCTGGGATCAGTCTTAATCTAGAGAGTCCCTAATCTGGCTACGGGTGGGCAAGACAGGTTCCAGCGGCACTCAGTTTGAAAATCTAGTTAGTCTGTGGTGCTGCCAGGCGCATGATTTTCTCTGGGGCAGTTTTGCAGGGTGTGTCGCATTTCCTAAGTCATTCCAAACTCTCCAGTCCTACTAGCATTGTAATGGAAATTAAAACGACAGATAGAAGGTTTTGTATCCTACACAGTGGAAGATAGCATTGGATTCCATAGTAGTCATTTGTGAGTCACCATGTGAGGGCTGGGCATTGAACTCAGGACTTCTAGAAGAGCAGCCAATGCTCTCCAGCCTTGTTTTAAGTTTTTAAATCAGTGCGTGGGTAAAATGGTATGTCCACTTTGACCAAGCAAACATTTTTTATGTTTTCTACTTTTCAGCAGCAGTAAAGTCAACTTTATTGTTCCTTTTTGCTATAGCCCCCAGAAGAAGATGATAGGAAAAAATAGAGCTAAAACCAAAGTGTTCTGATTTCTTGGCATCCATCGTATTGAATTGGCCCTTGTAAATAAACATTTTTCAGTCTTCCCTTTTCTTTTTATTATTTATATGTTTATTGAGACAGGGCCTTACTATGTTGCCTTGACTGCCAGGCTGGCCTCAAGCTCAAAAGTTCTACCTGCCTCTGCCTCCTGAGTACTGGCTGCAACATGTTCTTTTTTACTTAGAAATTTCATCTCCATTTTATTTGGGCAGGTTATAAATCTCCTATACCTGGAGATGGATTTTTCTTTCAATTCAAACACAAAAGTCTTTGTTTTAGTGTTCATAGTGTAACAAGTTTTCTGGAGTAGTTTTCTTTTTCTTTAGTATAGCCTGAAGAGTTCTGAGTAAAGGTTTATATTATATACACAGGCTTTTATTTTGTTGTTTCCTTATCCTCCTTCCTCTAGACTGGCTCTAACTCACTACGTAGCTGCTGCTCACTCCAGGCCTAATGCGTTCTCTTCGTGCTGTGTTTGTATGCGACCTTGTTATGGGTGAGGGGGTTGGGCAGCAGAATTGCCCTTGCAGGTAGACCAGCCTGTTCAAAGGCAGTGCTTGGAGCGGTGCGCACTGTGATGCCGCCCCGCAGGGCAGATGCAGGCACAAAGCTGAACACACAGAACTTTTTTTTTTTTTTTTTTTTGGGTTGTTCGAGACAGAGTTTCTCTGTATTGTTTTGGAGCCTGTCCTGGAACTCGCTCTTGTAGACCAAGTTGGCCTTGAAGATCCGCCTGCCTCTGCCTCCTGAGTGCTGGGATTAAAGGCGTGCGCCACCAACGCCTGGCTCACACAGAACTTTTCTGTGAGAAACTATGGGGCCTAATGGTTTTCTCGTGTCCTCTGAGGAAAGCATCACCACCATCATCATTATTCATTTAGTCACTCTTGTTTTAATTTTTTTATAGAGGAACTACTTATCCAAAGAGCTTTAAAATTTGAGGTTTTAGGTTTTATTTAATGTGTATGTGTGTGTGCCTGGTTATATGTGTGTACACCCGTGTGTGCAGGAGCTTGTGGAGGTCAGAAGGTGTCGGATCCCCTGGAACTGGAGTTATGGGTGGTTGTGAGCCTCCACATGGGTGCTAGAATCGTGTTCTCTTCTGCAAGAGTAGCTAATGCTCTTGATCACTGATCCATTTCTCTGGCCCCAAACCTAGGTTTTTCAGTAAACTGTGCTTTGCTACTAGAGATGAAAGGTTGGAACAGAAGGTGACAGATGTCAATCTGTAACTTCAGAGTCTCTATATAAAACAGGGCGTTTTATTTTGTTTTGTGGCTTCAAATTCATGATCCTCCTGCCTCAGCTTCACCAGAGCGAGGATCACAGTGCACACTGTCATCCCTGGCAGGAGTGATTTTGCACCCTGGGCTAGAGGAAGACACGGATGCACTGGAGAGGCGCTGTGCTCTCCGCACTGCTCTGTGGGGTGTTGGGTGTGGGTCTTCATTATGAGAGTGGGTGCTAACACTGCCACCGCAAGCTGCTTTTCAAAGTCAGGGAAAATCCAGGGATGCTGGCCTTGGGATTAACTGTCTCCATTCAGGTGGCAGAGAGAGAGCTCTGTACTTATGAAGAACATTCATTCACATGTATGATTCAGATAAGCTCATTAGATTTGTTCACTAAAATACTTGATAGCAATGTTTATGGCATAAGTTTCTAGGGTTAAAAATTGAGAAATTTGGAGACTAGGTGGACCTGTTAAAAAGGAAACCAGCTTGAAGGTTTTGTTTTTTTAATTTTTTTTTCGAGATTGAGGTTTTTAGAAGATAAGCCTTTACTAAATTCACAATAGTAAGCAGAAGAAATGAAAATAAACTATGTTGATTCCTGCACTCAGGTCAGCCTGGAAAAATTGTATATTTATTGCGTGTAAATGTATATGAGTGTGTGTGTGTGAGAGAGAGACAGAGAATAAAAGAAAACATTTCGTTGTAATACAGTTTCTTTCAAATTTTGTTTCCCCTTCATTTTAATTTAGGGGAACTAGACCAGACAGCATCCTCTAGAGAAAGTTGAAATAAATAGTCTTGTGTGAAATTTTACCTTATTTTCCAGGACCTTCCAGCTGATTGATATTCTCTGAAGTAGGGCCCAGGACCTGCATGTCTCTAGCACAGACTCTGAGAGGAAGCAAGTCCTGCTGAGGGAAGGAGGCATAGCCCAGCTTTTCCCACAGAGTGGATGTGTGTTGTTTAAAGCTGGTGTGTCATGACTTTCTTAAAGTTGAGAGCTTGGTCACAGCACAAAAGAGGGTTGAGTGTGATGTCTGACACGCTGTGTATTTGTTGCGTAGCGCTGCCATCCTAAATGCCACCGCATACTGAGCACAGAGGGAGTGGGGAAGGTCGGGCGCTGTTGGGAAGCAAATGCTCTACTTCCTATTTTGTTCTCAGCTGGCTGTGGGTGATCAAGATGCTTGACCAGCCTGGCCTCCTCCTGCTGTCTGGTTCCCTCACGCTGCTGCACAGGCCAGGCCAGTGCCCAGCATACTAAGCACCCAGCTGTGAGAGCTGTGTCTCCCGGCTGCTGAGAGTTTGAGTGTGACTGGCTTTGTTTCTTTCTGGTTCTTTTAAAGTTGTGTTCCGATAGTCCCCTGGTGCTAGTGTTGCCATGCTGGAAGTAAAGGTGGAGTACATTCCCTCCACCATGGGCCTGCTTGAGAAGTCTTGTTCTAGGACATGTGTTCCTGTGTGTTCTCCCGGCGCCTTAACAAGCCATTTCCTTAGCATTCTAATCATTAAATGGGGGTGGGGAGTGGATGTCTATTGACTGCCAAGAATATTAATATGTGAATGAAAACACCGTGCAGAGCTTTGTTTCCTAAGGGAGAAAACATTTAAAAACTTCCATAGAAAACAGATGGTGGCGCTTCTTAGATCAGTAGCTGTTCAAAGATGTCTGGTATTACCTGCACAGCGGCTTGCTGATTGATAGGACTTGGAGTAATTTCTCTGGAAGGATCTGTAATCTAGTATCACCTTTTCTATTTAGGTACTTAAAGCTTTCACCAAAACACCCAGAGTCAAACACTGCTGGAATGGACATCTTTGCCAAATTCTCTGCTTACATCAAGAACTCAAGGCCAGAAGCTAATGAAGGTAAACAGTTTAAATTGGATTGTCACAACAGAAAGCAAAATGAAACAAAACCCACACACAACAGTTTGAGCTGTTAGGATGGCGGTGAGTGCTTGAGTGTGTGGAGTTCAGGCTTTGCTGTAAGTATCAGAGCTGTCTTCAGGGAGGGTGAAATTGCTGCTTTCCCAGCTCCAGTCCTGGAGTCTGGTAGATGTGAGATGGAGGGGGCCATGAGTTCTCAGATACTGCAGTTCACCTCAGGGAACTGTGCTGAGAGCTGAGGGTACAGCCAGAGCAGTGGGCAGACAGGCTGTAGTGATGAGATAGATGGCTTTGGCTCTGATTGACTGATTGCTAAGTCATTTGTTTATTGTGGGGTACTGGCAGCCTATGTGCCTGTACTTTGTTGTGTATATGTGTGCTGATTACTGTTCATGAGAGTTTTGGGAGTGGTCTTTAGACAGTGATTAGACTCACCAGCCTTCAGATCTCTTCACATCATGGAACTAGAGATTTTGTTTCAGGTCATTATTATGGTCAGGGATAGTTTATAGTATAGATACAATTTGTTTTAATTAAAAGAGTGAGACCAGCCTGGGCTACATGAAACTCTGTCAAAAAACAAAAAACCCAAACAGTCAGGACAGTACAAAACAGACAAAAACCCGCCCTCTGAATCTATGCTGAGTCTGCTCTGGCTGTAGGCAGCCTGGCCTGGACTCTAAAGGCTCTCACAGCCTGTGGCCTGGGACTGGGGGATGACTATCTGTTGTCAGTAGCACCTAAAGTGAAACACTTGCTGACTTCCCTGGATTTCAGTGTCCAGATGTCCGGGCTCCTTTCTGATGTCTGGTTTCTTCAGTGAGGGGGGCGGGGACAGTTTTAGTGCCCAGGCCTGGCTTACATCTGTTTTTATATTGTGTTTCAGTGGCTGCCTTGAATAGAAACAGTTTTCTTGAGTAATTAGTCGTGTTCCTGACTAAAAGTGTTTTCTCTGAGCAGTTTATGCCCTGAGCAAATGGTGAAGTTGGAATCCCTCCTTCCCAGAGTGTATTTTGCCCCCTGCTTGTGCAGGCCAGTGTTCTCACAGAGCTGGCTTTTATACCCAGGTCTGCTAGCCGGCCAGGCCTTTGTGCTCTTCCACAGTTGGTATGGTTCATGGTAGAAGAGGAGAATAAGATGAGTTTTCCTTTACCTTGGGGGTGAGGGCTGGGAAAAGAGAAAGTGACTCACTTAACTATAACTTTGTACTCTATTTTTTATCTGTCAAGTCGTTATTGCCTTAAGTGGCCACCTACGCCTACTGTCTTTAGAGTGCTGCAACCAGTGAGAAAAGGACAGCGAGCACTTAACGTACAAGGCCTTATTTATAGTCAATACCTGTCGGTAAATAAGAATTCGCGTTGCCAAGCTACTTTTTTCCCACGGGGACCTCTCATTGCCCTGAGACTTTAGAAAACACTTTGAAATCAAATTTGAATTGAATGCTTGTCCCCTGTGTCTGTTGCCGTTCTGTCTGCTGAGAGCAGTTGCATGCTTTTAATAAGCCTAGGCAGTGGGGCATCCATCTCCCAACACCCACACACCAGCTCTTTACTTGTTGACAAGTTTTGGTTTATTAGCCTAGTAAGTAAATACTTGTAAAATCCAGTATACAGAGCTGGGTGTTGGTGGCCCACGCCTTTAATCCCAGCACTCCGGAGGCAGAGGCGGGCAGATCTCTGTGAGTTCCAGGCCAGCTTGGTCTACAGAGCAAGTTCCAGGACAGGACAGCCTCCAAAACAATGCAGAGAAACCCTGTCTCGAAAAACGAAAAAAATCCAGTTTATAGGAAGAGTTTAAAGACCTGTAGGACCTAATTCTAAGGGCTTAGCTGTCTAGATGCTATTGCATTAGTCTATAGAGTGTTATGTCTAGATCACCAAGTGCCCCAAAGACCAGCAAGGAGACTGAGTCCCATATGTAAAAGCAGAGAGCCTTTATTCAAGCTTGAGTTTGGACTCTGTCTGATGCAGCGGTTGACAGCCGAGAGAGGGTTTTTATCATAGCAGAGGTTGGGGTGAGGGGTTTCTAAGGTTCAGGACCCCTGATTAACTAATATTTATCTGGGGGTGTCTTGGTGAAAGGGGATGGTGTGTGTTAGGCTAAGGGACATCAGGTGATCCTATCTACAATTTTTGGAACGGTAAGAATTTCCTTTATAACCTTAGGTACTTTCCCCCTTGCATGGTCAGTTTCTGGGTGGTGCCCAGGTGATCCCAACTTGCCCCAGGATAAACTGAAACTTCAGGTCTACTTTCTGGTTGGTCTCCACCGAGCCTTGGCATGGCAGCAGTGCAGCCAAGTGGCAGGTGTGTACCAAGTTGCCCTGGGCCCCACATACAGAAAGTGGGGTAGGACCAGGGCCAGTACTTAGGTTGATGTATATATTTTAACAGCAGAAATGTTTATGTCAGCCGGGCGTTGGTGGCGCATGCCTTTAATCCCAGCACTTGGGAGGCAGAGGCAGGCGGATCTCTGAGTTCGAGGCCAGCCTGGTCTACAAAGTGAGTTCCAGGACAGCCTCCAAAAGCTACAGGGAAACCCTGTCTCGAAAAACAAAAACAAAACAAAAAAACAAAACAAAAAAAGAAATGTTTTATGTCACACTCAGCACTTCTGCCTTGAATCTGCTCATTCAAATCATATAAGCAATAGAGCAAGTTTTGCTTGTTGGAAAAGCCAAGGTTGTACAGAAATAATTTTTAATATGATCTTTTTTTATTCTTTGAGACTATCATACATGCAAACAGTTTTATTTTGATCCTGCTAACTCTCTTCCTTCCACTAACTCCACCTGATTCACAACCATCTCCCCACTCTTACAACTTGATTTTTTTATGCTGTTTATATATGTTCCTGGGTATGAGACAATCTACTGGGTACCCACCAGGAGTCACACCTGTAAAGAAAACTGACTCTCCCTCCCCCAGAAGCCATCAGCTGTCAGTAGTTCCTCAGATAGGGATGGGGCTCATGGTCTCCCCCTGTTCCCATGCTGGAATGCTCGCTAGGTTGTCTTGTGCAGTGACCACAGATGCCGTGAGTTCATGAGTGCAGGCATCCTATCACGTCCAGAAAACACTTCGGCTGATCCTCTCTGACTTACAATTGGAGAGTAAATTCACTGTAACTTCAGTTTGCAATTCAATAACAGATCCTAGGTGGCTGGACTTATTCTATATAAAACTGTTGTTGTGATGTTCATGTTATTATGTATTAGAAATCTTCCTGCCACTTGTGACCCCAGCACTCAGGAGGCTGAGGCAGGAGGACACCATGAATTGCACCACCCCCACCCCAGTCCTTCCAGGCAAAACAGGTCTTGGAATTTAGGAACACTTTAATAGGATTTGTATCTGCCATTGCCTGTTTGGACCTTGTGGATGGCCTCAAGGGGTTTTGGTTATGACTATGCTACCAGTGACTGTCCATGAGCTAGATTCCAATTAGGCGTGGGAAAGCTTGAGCCCTTCTTCCGCCTTGAGATGGCATCTTACTATGTGACCCTCAGGTCTCCAGGACGTAGATTACAGGCTTTTGCCACAATGTCCAGCAATTCTTTGCATTTTACTTTTTCCAAAATTTCAAAGTCTGACCAGTTTGTATTTCCACTAACCTCAAAATGTTCATTTCCATATACTTCTGACTCATGGGTGTCTGCATTTTAAAATTTTGCTGTATTTCCATAGGCCAAAATGTTATTTTTTATTTTCATAATTAATTTTAAGCTATGTATGCTGCATGCACTTTGTTTTTGAGGCTTTTTGTTTTAAATAGCTTCTTGGAGATAGGAAAGGAACAGCCGTAACTTGCAGACTGATCACTTTCTGGTGACCTACTACTGCCTCCTTGTGGTTAGTCTTGGTGTTTCCTTACCCTCCTGACAACTGTCTTTGCCTGTGCTGAGCTTTCGGACTTCACTCACTTCATTGACTGGCACTGTTTTTGGAATCTCTTAAAGCCTGTTTGTGTCTTTTCTGCTGGCCATGCCTTATGATGAGCCATAAGTTATAATAATGAGTAACAAACTATTACTAATTTTCTCTCCATTTTCAGTGGTTCTTTTGTTTCTTTGCTTTTTGAGACAAGAGTTTCTCTGTGTAGCCCTGGCTGTCCTAGAACTCTCTCTGTAGACCAGGTTGGCCTCGAAATCACAGAGATCTGCCTGCCTCTGCCTCCCAAGTGCTGGGATTAAAGGCGTGTGCCACCAACACCCGGCTTTTTTTTTTTTTTTTTTTGGCCTTGGCCTTGATTCCTTCTTAACCTAGCTCTTTCTAACCCTGAATTCTATTAATAATAATTTATGTATCGTATTTTAGCTATATACACTATACCATCGGCTTGTATAATATTACCAGAAGGTAGTGTCTGTTGCTGTGTGTTTTTAGTCTTTTACTTTTAAATGATGTGCCTTCAGGTCCAGCCGAGTGTTCATAGTTCCCCAGCTTTATTTCTGAATTCTAGCACCCTCTGCTGTCTGTTTTCTCAAAAAACAAACTTAGGATTCAGGCATTTAGAATCACACACATGTGGTCACACCATACACAGCGCATGAGATACCCAGCGAAACAGGACATTGCCAGGCAGAGGGGAGATCCCATTCCGAGACAGGCTTAGCCACGGTGGGAGGTGGCGGGCACCACTGTGGCTAGATGAGAGGCAGACAAGGAAAGGAAACAGGGAGGAAAAGTAACCAGAAAGAGCTTGGTACACCCTTCAGCTCTTGGATCCATGGTGAGTTGTAAAAGTCCTGTGAAATATGGGGATGTGGAGTGCGGTTGAGTGGCCCTTTGGGAAGGGGTAGGCCCGTTTCCACGAGTGAGGGGAGACCCAGTGCCACCTCTGTCCTGGGAGATCGAGGGAGGATCGGACGAAGTGGCACCGGCTGATTTTCTTTCTTTCTTTCTTTCTTTCTTTCTTTCTTTCTTTCTTTCTTTCTTTCTTTCTTTCTTTTTTTTTCTTTTTTTGGTCCATCAAGCACAAAGTCAGGGGCCAGGGCTTACCGAGAATTACATGGTCACTGGGGTTTTTGATGGAGCCAGAAAAGGGGAGAGACCACAGTCACAATAGAAGTCCCTATGGAAGCGTGGCCAGAGGTGGGGAGGAAGGAGCAGGCTCACCAGACTTGGTAGTGGATGCAGGGTTCCAGTGATCCTTAGTTGGAAAAGTGACAGAGTTGAAGGTTTCAGGGTCCCGGCATACCTCAGACTGCCTGTGGGCAGGAGGAAATGTGAGAAGAACCATCCAAGTCACGGCATCAGTGTTATAATACAGCATGAGGTGGAACCATGGCCAGATCCCATGCGGGCAAGGGACAAACATGTCAGGCAGACAAACCTTAAGTAGGAAGCTTTGTTGGAGGAAAGGGAAGGGAGTGGGGAGAGGGGGAGAGAGAGACAGGAAAAGTCCTATCTGCCCTTCAGAGGAACAGTGGGAAAAGAGAGGGCAGAAGTGGGCAGAGTTTGCCTCTTAAACCTTTGCACCTGCCTGCAGACTATGTAGTGAAATAGCAGCCATAGGACCCTGGGCTGGACAGGGTACTACTTGACAGGCCAGCATAATGCCTGAATCCTAACACAAACAAACAAAAAGCAGAAAGAACCCTCCTGTTTGATCATGGGAATAGTGAGGGTGCTCTTGATGAATCCAGATCTATATGATGCTTGCCATCTGTCTGTAATCAGATTTTCCTTTGGGCAGCTAGTTCACAAGAAAAAAATGACATGGAGACTTCTTATGAAAACTCAGCCTATAGTTTAGGCTTGTTCCACTAGCTCTTATAACTTATATTAACTCATATTTTTACTAATCTACACCACATGGCTTTTTACCTCTCTCCCATTCTGTGTGTTGGAGTTTCAATGGCGTCTCTTTAAAAATTTATTTATTACATATACAGTGTTCTGTCTGCATGTATGCCTGCAGGCCAGAAGAGGGCACAAGATCTCATTACAGATGGTTGTGAACTACCATGTAGTTGCTGGGAATTGAACTCAGAACCTCTGAAGAACAGTCAGTACTCCTAACCTCTCCAGCCCTCAATGGCATCTCTTGGGTGCCTCAATTCTCTCTTCATTTTTTGCTCAGAAGTCCTGCCTGCCTATTGGCCATTCAGCTTTTTATTACACCAGTCACAGCACTATATCTTCACACAGTGTACAAATGCAACGTGGTATTTATTTGAGTGGAAACTTCATTCATTTTCCTTTTACACTTTAGAGGGGATTTTCTGTGTTTTACAGCAATACGCATTCCAGTCTTCCCCACAGATACTTACTAGCAAGCACAAAGTTCCTCGGGTGTCTCACATTAATTAACCAGCTAACTTGGGAAATAGTGGAAGATTTCTACTTCCTCCTTGAGGTTGGGAGCTAGGAAAGGTTGCTCACTGTCACCACTTCTGAGCGGTTTCCTCACTACCAGGTCAGCCTACGAGAAGGAAATGAAAGGTCTGTGTCTGTCTTTTCTGTTGCTGTGCTAAGATGCCAAGACCAAAGCTACTTAGAGGAGGAAGAATTTATTGGGGCTTACAGTTTCAGAGGGATAGTCCATGGTCACCATGGCTGAGCATGGCAGCAGACACACAGGTGGGTGTCGTGCTGGAACACCGGCTGAGAGCTTCAGTCTGATCTGAGAGAGAGACAGGCAGACATTGCCAGTGGCACGGACTTTTGATTCCTCCAAAGTCCATCCCCTGGGGACACACCTCCTACTAAAAGGCCACTTCTCGTAATCCTTTCCAAACAGTCCCTCCAACTTCTGACCAAACTCTCAAATATACTCAACTATACAAGAGTCATTTATATTTTGTTGTACTTCCTTTCTCCTTGTTCACATGACTTCTGAACTCTGTTTTTGTTTTTTTTGCCTTGGTGTTTTCGGGCATGTATGTCTGTGAGGGTGTCAGACTTGTAGTTACAGACAGATGTTAGCTGCCATGTAGGTTCTGGGAATTGTACCCGGGTCCTCTGGAAGAGCAATCAGTGCTCTTAACCACTGAGCCGTCTCTCCAGCCCAACTTTGTTGTTTTCTGTCCTTTAAATTCCTTCATCTTTTGGAGCCTCTAAGTTCTCACATAGCCAAGACTATCTGTTGCCATAGAGACACCAAGGGATGGGTAGGGAGGAGGCAACTGGAAGAAGTGTTGGGGTGGGCGGGTTTATATTGCTGGTGAAATACCTGTTGTGAGCATTTAAAGGCTCCAAATTGTTCATGCTTACACGTGTATGTATTGAGAATTATGGGGTAGTGGATTAGGATATAAAAGAAAGGATACTGGAGGCTGGGACTATAGTTCAACAGCTGGGGTTTTGTCTGTCATTTACTAGGTCTAGGATCCAGTACACCTCTCTCTCTCTCTCTCTCTCTCTCTCTCTCTCTCTCTCTCTCTCTCTCTCTCTCTCTCTCTCTCTCTCTCTCTCTCTCTCTCTCTCTCTCTCTCTCACACACACACACACTCGTCTCTGAAGCAGAGCAACAACAAAACAAAAAGAAGGGGTAGCGGAGGCTCTATCTCTGTTGTCTCTGTTTCCTTTCTGTAGTGCCCCAGCTCCCTCTTCTAAGGCTAACTGACCTTGATCCCCAGATGCAAGCAAATGGCTTAGTTCAACTTTATGAGGTGTAGCAGTCATAGTATCTAGTCCTCTTGGCTTTCAAGCAGGCTGCTAGTTCAGTACTGTCACTATGTCACTGTCACTTGTAAGGCGGTCCTGTTCTTGGCCTCTTGTTGTTACAAGACAGAGTGAGACCCCAGACTCCCAGGCTTTCTGTTTAGGTTGTCTGCTCAGGCAGTGATTGGTACCTCTTGACATATTTCTCCATGGTAAATCTAAAAGTTCCCAGTGAGCAGGACCATGCTCTCAATCTTAGCAAGAACTTCTAGCTGGGAGTTAATAGATTTGCTTTCCCCATCTATCTTTGCAGTTTGAATATCAACAGGCTTGGGCTGCATCATTTGTGGGGGGCATTTGTTGGTTGGCAAAATAGTTACCACTCTCGTTTATTTATGCCCTTGTGTGAACGATTGTGCAGGCAAGCTCCAGGGATGGGAACCTTCTGTCTTGCTCTCTGAGAGTTGAGGATACAGGTGAAGGCTGCACAGTTACTGAGATACAGCCTCTGCTCAGGGCCGGGCTTCCTCTCTGACAGTGTTCCCGTCTGTTTCAGCACTGGAGCGGGGACTCTTGAAGACGCTGCAGAAACTGGATGAGTATCTGAATTCTCCCCTCCCTGATGAAATCGATGAGAACAGCATGGAGGACATCAAGTTTTCCACACGGAGATTTCTGGATGGTGATGAGATGACACTAGCAGATTGCAACCTGCTGCCCAAGCTGCACATTGTCAAGGTAGGCCTGCTTTGAAGTGGGGTGCTGCCTGGAGCAGTGCTCCCCTCACAGAAGCCATTCTCCACCCAGCCAGAGTAGACAGAGTCAGCACTTCCTAGAGCCAGCTCAATAGAAAACAGAGGTAGGAGGTTCAGGATTCCCTCTCAAGGCCAGAATGGGCTACTATATGAGACCCTGTCTCAGGGAGAAAAAAAGTGAGACTTGAGCAAGAAGAATATTTTTTTCTTTTCCTGTGAAGAATACAAACTCAAAGATGTAATAGGTAACTCTGAACTGGACTGACGCTGTCAAATCCTGTTTGGTGATCGTCACTACCTGGCCTTTTTCATTCAAAACCAAAAATGCCGAGTGGTTATTATATGAGATGCCACAGTAAATTATTGAGCATTAGTTGTGCAGTAGAGATCTAAGATAAGAAAAACAGTTTTAGAAGCTGGTATGCAATCCCAGAATTTGGGAGATGATGCAGGAGAATCAAGAGTTCAAAGCCAACAAAAGTAACACGAGACTGTTACAAAAAATAGCCCAAACCAAAAAAGGAAGAAAATTAAACAAATTTAAAATAGTGTTTAAAAATTATTTACCCAGTGATTATGCTCAGCCATCTCCCCATTTCCAGGGCAGTCTTCTGTAGCCACTGTCGCATTTCTATAGAGCATGGAGTAGCAGGCAGTCCTAATCTACGTGTGAGATATAGCTTGCTCTCTCTGCGCATGTTCACCTGGGTAACCTTGGAGGCCAGCAGGGGGTGCCTTTCCTCTCCCTTGGAGTCACAGGCAGTTGTGAGCTCCCCAACGTGGGAGCTGGGAACTGCAGTCCTCTGGAAGAGCTCCCATCCCTAGAATGTGTTGACAAAGGTTCACAGAATTAATAGTCACTTCAGTCAGGCATGCCTAGTGTGGAGAGTTGGAAGGTAGTTATAACTCTTGATATCTTGTATTTCAGGTGGTGGCCAAAAAATACCGCAACTTTGATATTCCTAAAGAAATGACGGGTATCTGGAGATACCTGACAAACGCCTACGGTAGGGATGAGTTCACCAACACCTGTCCCAGCGACAAGGAGGTGGAAATCGCATACAGTGATGTTGCCAAGAGACTTACCAAGTAAACAGCACTTTCAAGAGAGATGCCTTCAGAGTCCCCCAAAATAAGCTTTCCTAACAGACTGCTCTGCCTCCTCTAAAGTAGAAGTGTATTTTGCATGAACATGCAGTTACTCAAGGCTAGGATTAAAGATAGACAAAGTGTAGTAGTTATCTCCAATACACACTCCTAAGCAGTATTATTCTAAAATCCTCTACCCGGCCCACCTGCCCTTCCCATCTGCTGTCCTCTGGTTCGGAGGTACTCCACCACAAGCTCGTCACAGGAGAGGCAGTTTGCCATCACTCTGGAGCCCCGCCATCGTGTCTATTCACCGTGTGCAGATGGCAGAACTTGAGGTGCAGTGTTCCACCGTTAGAATAGTAGCCGTGACATCCGGGCAGCCCACACTGGTGTATAATACATGGTACAAAGAATATTTATGTATCGGGGGAGAGTTGTAATATTGAATAAGGATTATGGAAGGATTGCTACTGTGTTGGAATGCTGTTTCAGTGTCGTCTGTCCTGGAGTGTGCTGAAGGGTGTTGCTGTCTGGAAGGACTGCCTTTTGTAGAGAGACTGCTGGTTTCTTGGTAGACAGTTAATTTTGCCTAAAATGTGTCATTTGTATAAATCATAACATCCGATACTATGTAGAAACTGAAAATTCTCAAAAAGATAAGAGAAGATGGGTGGGTTCTCTGTTGTGTTATCTGCTGTGGGTTTCACCCAGGGCCACCCATGCATTTGCAACAGTATTGCTGCCTTCATTATAACAGGTTTTCTCTTGCCCCCCCCCCCCCCCTTTTCCTATGGAGCTTGGGATGGAACCCAGGGCTTTGTGCAGCCCTGACAAGGCTCTGTCCCTGAGCTGCACCAAGCCCCGCTTCCCTCTTGTAAAAAGCTCCTTTCTTGGGTGAAGGTGTATCTGCCTGTCTGAGCAACATTGCACAGGCTGCCACTCAGCTGCCTCACTCTGTAACTAGCATGTGAGTCACTCAGAAGTTAATGGAGTTTCAGGGTCAGCTTGTGGGAATGTCAGGTTCACTTTTCTCCTAAAGCGGACTCTTGGCGGGGGGGGGGGGTGGGAGAGTGGAAGAATGCAACATCTGCCCATCTTAAGCTCCCATGAAGCATAGGTCACATGCTCCCATTCCACCTCCATTTGCATTAGGCCTAGTGGGAGGTCCTTCTCTTGGGATAAATTGTGGTTGTTCATAGTGAGGTGTATTTCCCATAGTTTGGCCTAATGTCAGTTGCCACACTGAGGAATGGCACTCCGTTTTTTTTTCTTGCCATTTGTTTTGAGATAAGATGTTTCTCGGAAGCCCTGGGACTTGATAGGTGGACCAAGCTGACCTCAAAGTTGTGGCAATCCTCCTGCATTTGCGTCCTGCATGCTGGGATTATGAGCCTGCACCAGCATATCTGGCTTGTTTTCTCATTTTTTGCAGGAAGTCTAAGCTGACAGTTATTTGAAGTCTAACAAAGGAGAGGTCTGCTGTGTCTTCACTGTCTCCCTTTCTGAGTAGCCCTCTAGAGCCTCCTCGTGACTGTACTATGTTTTTGGTGATTTTTTTCTAATGTAACTTGTTCAAGAAGTGCTGTTTCCCACAACTTTCCACCCCACACTACACTGCTTTAAGGCAGCCTGCCCTCCCCTTTGGTATGCAGAAAGTAAATAAACACCGGGAAGCATTCTGACTCATCAGCAGCCCCCTTTTAAAACTTACCCGTAATTCCCTTACTGTGGGGTACAAGGGAGGGCTTACCATGTATCCCTGTGGCTCAGGGAGATGCCTTGGCCGTGGCTCACACCCTTACAGCTGACAGGGTGTGAGCGCCCATCGCTGCAAACGCTGTGAGGTGATGTGTCTGGTTCCAGCCAGAGGCACTATCTCTTCTCCTTTGAGAAGGGACCCTGCAGTGTCTCCATGGGCAGAAGTGTCCCATCTTTACATAGTGACAGCTTATCCTTGGATGGGATTGCGTCTTTCGTGAGGAAGATTCCAGAGAACGAATGACTGCTCTTTCTGCAAGTGGACGCAGTGAGGGCTTCTCACTAGAGGTAGAGCAGGACAGCGAAGAGTCAGGATGCACTGAAGCTGGGTGAGATGCCCACCCTTGGGTGTTCATTCTCCATGGCTTCCTAATTTGCCTCATGGCTGCTCTTGCTGTCTTTGGATGTCCAAGGAAGGGAAGCCTGCCTTGGTTTTTGAGACAAAGGCAGAATTGTTATTCTCAGTAGAGTGATACATTTTAGTTTTATATGAGAAAAGTCAGACAAATTTGAGAGTGGTGGTAAATGGACAAAAGCTATAAAAAGGAAGGCCCGCACAAGTGCTCACTACTCCATCTGTGCAAAGATCCTGGCTTGGAAGATGGAAATGTGTTTCCGTGCCCTTGATGCAGTGTGGGGCTGGAATACAGGGTCATCTAGTCTCATGTCCACACCAGTGACTCATCCTTGCGTTTAGCCCCCTTCCCTACGAGCCCTTCACCTCAGAGAGGGGGTTCTGAGTGGAGCCTCCCTCCCTGTTTCAGTGGATACTGAGAAAATATTCAACAGTGGGAAAACTCACTGTTGTAATTATCACACCTTCCTGTGTTCTGCAGATACAGATTTTCAGTGCAGTGCACATAAGATTTTCTCAGTGACATTAGCTTCCAAACTCTTGAGCAGTTTGCACACCATTATGAGATTGAGTGTTTGTGCACTAGGAGGGTCAGCACCAGAACTTAGGCATTTATACTTCTGCTGAGTTATTCCAGAGCCTCGCCAGACTTGCATGTAGATAGGAGTCATTTCTTCATATTTAAGAAACCCATTTAGGAAAGATCTACAAAGTACAAGTGGGGGGAAGTAGAAATTATTTTAGTGAAGATTTTGGTCCACACCTCATCAAATGGCAATGAATTCACCAGTCTCTTAGGCTGGTGATAATCATGTGGGTCAGAGAGAGCGTGTGAGCCTTTGTCAAGAAACTTAAGGTAGGTTTCTAAAGGTTCATCTTTACAATTACCAAAGTGGGAGGCAACTAAAATTATTTTATGGTGGAAAATTTTTAAGTCCCAAGCCATAAAAATTCAGTTCCCAAGCCACGATGCTGTACAGGACTGGAGTGTTTCTTTATAGAATTCCTTGGGTAGGGATGAAAGCTCAGCACAGAATGCTTGCAGTTTCTTTCTTCTCTCTGGAACATCAACACCAGTATATTGCTGGCAGCTATTGTATTCTAAAAAAGTAAATAAATATATTTTCACTACCAAGGGGTTCTTTTTTCTCCTTCCTGGAAATAACTTGGTATAGAAGTGTTTAGGACTACTTTTATGATCTGATTCAGCACATTTACTAGGAAGGAAGATGAAATGCTTATCAACTCAACTGGTGTAGGGAGTGATTTAGTGAAAACTGATACTCTTAGCAAAATGGGGCAAACTTAAAAATACCTGGTTTTTATGTGTATGCACACTCGTGTGCTTATGCATATGGGGTGCCTGCAGAGAGCAGAAGACAGCATTGGATCCTCTGGGGCTGGAGTGACAGGCTGCATGGCGTGGTCCTGAACAAGAGCATTATATGGTTTTAACCGTCAAGCTGACTCTTCAGCCCCAGGACCAGTAATTAACATCCAAAAAATGTGAAAGCCACGTCCCATCACAGCTGACGTCCCCTGCTTTTCACAGCTGCTGTGGATTGTCCCAGCAGTGCAAGGTGTGGGAATGGAGGGGGGTAAGAACATGTGTGCATATGTAATCTAAGAGAGTGTGCAAATCCGTGACAATTCAGTGGAATTTCTGCATACAGCATCAAATATCAGAAGTCAGAGGCTGGAGAGTAGCAGTTAAGAGTGCTGGTCCAGAGGACCTAGGTTTGAACTCCCAGTACCCACATGGTGTTTATAACCAACTGTGGCTCCAGTCTTAGGAGATCTGTCAACCTCTTTTGGCCTCCTTGGTCACCAGGCATGTGTGTGGTGCACAAACACACGTGAAGACAACACCAGACATATAAAATGAATTTAAAGATTTTAAAAATCAATATAATTGCCATATACTAAGCAAATGAGAAGTTAAGCTGCTAGCATCAATTTCTTCAGAAGGAAACCTGGGTGGTGGAGGAAAAATAAGTAGGAAAAATTTAAGCTTGTAAGCACCTGTTTTGAGAGAAATTATTATCATTAGTTTTATTTTATTTTGAGACAGGGTTTCTCTGTCTTTAATCTTAGCAATTGGGTGACAGGCAGGTGGATCTCTGAGTTTGAGGCCAGCCAGCTCTACAGAGTGAGTTCTAGGACAGCCAGGGCTACTCTGCCTAAAAAGAGAGAGAGATAAAAGTGAATTGTGCACAGACCTCGAAAGAGAAACCCCCAAAGCCAGGAAACATGGTATCATTTCAAGTTCTGAAAGTAACTGCCAACTGAGTGAGATTCCTATATCCAGTGAAGTTCTCTTAAAATTGAGAGGACAGTGAGGACATCTGAAGACAAGTGCCAACTGAAAGTTAATGACCATCAAGCCAGCATTGAGAAAATACTTAGAGGAAAAGAGACAGGAGACTTCAGAAGAATACATTTCATACAACTGCATGAACAAGAGAACTAGGAAAGGACCCATCGAGTCCAACACAGCGGGAAACCTCTACCACAAACAGAAAGAAGCAATAATCCAAGTCAGGATAAAATCACAATTACAGCGGCTAGCATTTTCTCAATACCCCTAAGTGCAAATAGTCTTCATTCTTTAATTAGAAGATGTAGACTAGTTTGGACTGAAAGTCAGAACCACTCTTCTGTTCTCAGCTGTGGTGGGCTTTTTCACTTGGGCAGGGGGTCCACACAGATTGTCTACATCATGTTAGCCTGGGGTCACGTCTAAGGGGGATTTCTTTTTTGGGGGGCAGGGCTTATCTGTGTAGCTTTGGAGCCTGTTCTGGAACTTGCTTTGTAGACCAGGTTGGTCTGCCTCTGCCTCCTGAGTGCTGGGATTAAAGGTGTTTGCTATCACCAACCGGCAAGGGAGGTTCTTACATTTGTTGAATTGAATTGTAGAAACCTTTTGTCTTTGATTAGGCTTATACCTAGGCTTTGGAAGCTATTGTTGATGGTTTTTTTTTCTGATTTCTTAGAAAAGATTCAACTCATTCCCCACCAAAACTCTAGTAGCATTCTTCACAAAACTATATATATGTCCTGAAGTTTATATGGAAGAACAAAATACTCTGAACAGCCAAGATAATAATAAACAGAACGATGTTGGAGATTGTCAAATTATGCTACAGAGTCATAGTAACAAAAACAGCATGGTGCTGGCACAAACTCAAGAAATATAGGTCAATGGAATAGACTAGAAATAAACCCCCATAGCTACTGCTACCTAATATTTGATAAAGGTGTCAAAAGCATACATTGGAGAAAAGACAATAAGTGGTGCTGGGAAAATTAGATATCCACATGAACAAAACTAGATGCCCAAGTTGACTGAAAATGGGTCAGAGCCATAATGTTGTAAGGCATGAAACATATAAAACGTAGGCGCAGTGTCTAGTTTCATTTCCGTTGCTGTGACAAAATACGCTGCCCAAAGTGTGTGTGAGGAGGAGGGTTTGTTTAGTTTAACATTCTGTGTTATAGTCATTGCAGGAAGACAAAGGCAGGGGCAGAGAGGAATTAATGCAGCCTTACCACCAACTTGCTCTTTTGCTCAGCCACCTTACTTCACTCTTACACAGTCCAGGGCCAGCCTAAGGAATGGTGCCACCCACAGTAGGCTGGGTCAGTTAATGGACAATACCCACAAGCCAACCTGATCTAGACAATTTCTCACTGAGGATCTCTTCCCGGACGATTCTAGGTCATGACAAGTTGCCATTTAACGCTAACCACCACAGGTGAGGACATAAAAACAAGACCAGACACGTGGGACTGTGTGACATACAAAAGCAGTCACCAGAGTGGAGAGATGCCTACAGAATGAAAGAAAACCCTTGCCAACTGTACATCTGACTGGGGACTGAAAAATGACTGAAAGAAACAAGTGACTAGTAAATATTTGAAAGACCATTCAACATCCTTAACTAATAATAGGGTATGCAAGTTGAAACTATATTGAAAGTCCATTTTATCCTAGCCAGAATGCCTATTACCAAGAAACCAAATGCCTCACTGCTGGGGAAACTGCTGAGCAGGTAAGGCACTCACTCCTCTTGCAGAAGACCTGCGTTTGCTTCCTGGCATCCACATTGGGTGGCTCCCAACTGCCTGTGACTCTGGCTCCAGAGTATCCGTCCCCTCTGACCTTTGAGGCCCCTGCACTTGTATACATGCACACAGACACATTGTATAATTACAAAAGAAAACAAGTGACAAGCGCTAGCAGGGATGTGAGGAAGGAGAACCCTTATTCAGGGTGACCAGGATGCGAGCTGGTGCAGCTATTATGCAAATCAAAATGGAGGTCCCCCAGAAAATTTCAGATAGAACTACACCACCCAGCTATACCACTCCTGGGTGTTTACCTGAAAGCCTCCAAGCCAGTGTTTCCCAGAGATACTGCCACACCGGTGTTTATTGGAGCACTGCTCGTTCCTAATAGCTAAGCTACAGCGCCACTGCGGGTGTCCCAACAAGAGAGGCATGCATTAAGAAAATGTGGTTTATACCAGTGGAAGTACTTTCCCTGCCTGGGAGCAGCCTGCTCCAGTCTCTCTCTGAAGTGTTTATATGTCTAGCTTTGCTAAGTAAACTTCCACTGAACCTGTAAAGAGGGGAAGGAAGAGAATAGGAAAGTTGTGTCCTCTAACAGGAAAACGGATACAACTGTGACTCATGGTGCCGTGTGAATTAACTCAATCTCAGAAAGGTAACCCGCCTGATCTCTCTCGCTTGTGAGTCCTAGATTTCATATAGACACATGCAGTCCTATGTGTACAGACAGCATGGAAGTAGAAGAGAAACTCGGGGGAGGGGGGGAACAAGAGGGCCCAGGGGGAGGGGGAAGGGAGCATGCTCAACGTACGTCATGCATTTGCTCGAAAATGATCTTATGTGGCCGGGTTTAGTAAAGTGAAACAAGGGGAGGGAATGCTGCAGAGACCTGGGAACAGGAGTATGTGTGAGAGGAAGGAATTTAGATATGAAAGCAGAAGGGGCTATTTGGAGGGAGGAAGGGTGGGTGACATGTTCACGGCGTCGTCAGGCGTCTTTGTAACTGTGCCGTCTGCAGTGCTCAGTAGAGACAGCTCACGTGTCCGTCTGACTAGTGGACTGACATGTAGCTGGACAGTGAGGAACGCATGAAAAGGCATGAGGTAGTGACAGATGCCACAGCATGGATGAGCCAGAAAGACAGCTCTGTGATACAAGCCAGACACCAAAGGTCACATGCTGTAGGATTCTGTGTCCTCGGTACTGGAGAGGTGCAGACAGGGTGGGGGTGGGGCCCCTGGAGTCTGCCGGCCGGCCAGTCCAGCTGTAGGTTAATTTGTTGGATCGACCTGGTCTCTACATGTGCACATGCTTACCCATACACACGAACACATACACATACGGGGCCAGGGGTTGGGGGTGGGTTGGGGGGACCTATCCAAATCAAAGCAAAGAAAAGGAAAAAAGGTACAAACCAACTAAAAACCAGGAAAACAAGACCCACATAGGAGGCATGGGCCACAGCCTGTGTGTGTGCATGGAAACTGGAAGTTCCGGCAGGGCAGGGCAGGCAGTGGGGCAGGAGCTGCATTGGGTGAACAACGCTGAGAATCCTTGAAAGCCAACTAAAAGACTCATCCCACAAATCCACGAAGCACATGTACAGTCCATGTGAAGTCAAAACAACACATCTGAGCACATCATGGTGAAACTGCTGACCATTTATAACAACCAGTCAAATGGTGCAGAGCCCGCGAGGGAGACCAGGGTGGCTTTGCAGCTGTGGGAAGTCGGCCATGCTCAGTGAAGAAACCCGCCACAAGGAGGACAAACAGGCAGACCGGGCTCTAAGTCGGCCTAAGGAGGAAATGGGACGCTAGAGTGGTTGCTTAGCAAGCCTGAAGACCTGGGTTCAATCCCTAGTACTGTGTAAACCTCCCACCCAAGAAGTGGACTCGTCCTAAAGTCCTGGCTGTCGCCTGGGCTTTCTACAAATGCCCGGCAGGGGGCGCAGGCGGCCCTCTCCCAGGCGCCACTTCTGCAAACTGTGTGAGGCCAGCTGCAGGACGCCGGCAGTTTGGGGAGTTGTCAGCTCAGATCCGCAGCGTCTCTGCTTCCTT